AGGTGATGGAGGCATGTCATTGTGACTATTCCCATGTGCCTATAGCACGGGCTTCAACTGGCAGCACGTCATGGCGCACACTTCTGGGAAGTCACTGGTGAGCCAATGCACCTTCTACCTTCTGGACGCGCCTCATTGTTGACACCGCGCGCTGTCATACATGCACTAGTACACGCACCGAGTGAGAGCAGCGGTAGCCCCACTATTTAGAATGCAATTAGTCGATGTCCCTGTTCCAGAGGCAATATCCACCCACGTAATAGAGGACTGCTGTTTAAGAGGTCATGTTGTGAAGGGCGGCTCAGAAGGACTGAATCTAAGTGGACGACCCAGAACAATATCAAAACGGTGCCGCGAAGCCTCAAACCTGGTCCAGTAATGATATTGTCTGTTACCCGGCCACCAGGTAGCACTCCGAGTGAGCGCAGGCGTCTCTATACATGAAGGGGTTCTCGGGAGACTTAAACTAGGGCCGCCGGCAAAACAACACTATACAACCATCCCGTTAGTGATCCCTCGGGCCTCTATGTCTACACTCGAGTGGGTAAATTACTGCAAGCACCTAACACCCAAGAAAACAGAAATTAGTAGAAAATATGTATTACTAGATTCGATGGAAAAGCTTCGACTACATTCACAGTGGAGGAGCAGAATAAAAGGTTGCAAAGAGTACTTAAAAGGGCCGTCACACCGCTGCACCGGCAAGGTATCCGGGGTCTTCAAACTGTAAGCACAACGTCAGCAACTCACAGCGCATTGGTCACGCGTGACTTAGACCTGGCGGCTCTCGGCCACCGTAGGGATCGCAGCACTTACTGTTGTACCGCCACCTCGGCTAACCGAAACCGATCCGTCGGAGGCATCAGGAGGACCCCTGAAAATACCGATAGATGCCGGTGCCAGTCCGGACAAAAAAAGCGCCTCGGGCGAGGGACGCCGGAGCCAGTCCGGACGTAAGTAGGGGTCTCAGCCGGCCAACCCGGTTTTTTAGTCCGGACACCAACGGCACCCCAGCAGTGATGCCGGTTGTAGTCCGGACATGGTCAGCAGCCCGCCACTTCGTTGCGACTATACATTATCATTACCCGGTATGGTATTTCTCACCGAATAAGGATAGACATGCCTCCCCTGTAGTCGTGAACCCTCGGGTACCCCTTATTTGCACGGAATTATACAGTTTTTAGTATCACGCTGAAATCCGGAGGCACACATGGAAGACACAGCTGGGTGCCGGATGCCTCCAATATCGCGGCGGTATCGTATCTCGCCGTCCAGGGCTACGAAGCCATGAACGGGCGGGTATTTCACGCTGTCTCTCAGACCCTGGCAATGCACAATGCCTGCCGAATCACTCATTTGCCTGCCACGTCTTTTCTTTGCATGCTGGAGATCTCAAGCCCGAAGGCTCTTCCGTTATCTATTGAACTTTCTACCTCAGACTATGCACGTTTCAGGTTTTCATACATGCACCCTAGTATCTAGTGTCTAGAATGACTTGTGGACTACAACGGGTG